AAAACGTTTAATTTTGAATACTCGTACCTAGGGCGTTACATATTTTTCAACCACAAACTGTTAATCCAACTAATTACATGAAGTTCTCGAATCTGTTCTCAAATAGTATTACCCTTAATTACATATTCAGGTTTATAAATGGTCATAAAATTGTTGATCTCTTTTATAAGTAGACAAGTGTTTATTGCGTTTATTTCATTTTTTATTTACTTATATACATATGTGGGAATATATTTTTCGGGCTTACCGTTTTGGGCAATGGCGAGAGCAGTTCGAGCACATGGAAGTCCTCGTAAAAGAGGGTGTAGTTATCTAGCGTCATCTTTGTAAGTCAAATGTGAGCAAATATTTCCGGCAAAAACAAAAAAAAAATTAAAATATGGCACTAAAAAGCCTGTTGCGCGGCTTTGAGGCAAACGAGCGTCGAGCGTCGACCGTCGAGCGATGACTCAGCTGTCAATTCTGGCGAAATTCGCTTGTGTATTTGTTTAAATTGTTTTTGTATCTTTTGCAAGTCTGCTGCTGCTTTTTCTTATTTAATTTAATGCACTCTCAAGTGTGTCGTTGTCTGTGTATTTGTAATTGTACGGCAGCGTGCGAACAAAATAATTTAAAAAATTTGTTCTCAGAAATTTTGTCTAAATATTTATTGTGATGTTTTTGTTTTGGGGCGCACTTTGATGCTGTTTCTCAGTTAATTGCACATTTTGAAAATCACTTGTGGGGTTGCAGAGCACTGCTTTTTAAATTTTCACGTAATTATGCGATGATTTAATTGTTAAAATAGCCTTTGACTGCAAGCTGCGCGTCGGAACGCTTTGCACGAGCAACTTCTGTAGACTAAATGCGTCATCGTGGCGCAATTTGCTTTTATAGCCCGAACGGTCTCTTGAGTGGCTCTCGATTGAGTCGAATGTGGATGCGAATGCGAATGCTTGATAGTGCTCGCTCGACTTCTGCTTTGGAATTTCCTGAGCCCCGTCACAGCGGGAGCGAGTGAGCGACCCACAGAGCGTATGACCAATTTATCACCCATATACATACAAGTATGTATATGTGTATGTATGTATGTATGTATGGATACGAGCAGAGCACGATTTTGAGCTGAATTGTGGCTGCTGGCTGGCGCAGCGCAATTACAAATTTGTTATATATTTTTGGGCTTAACCCGCATTTACACTCGCATTCATATCGAACACAGTTCACACACTCATATATCCATACATATGTACATATGTATCTATGTATATAACTAGGTATGTACATATGCACAAATAGATTTTTGTTGTTAGAAATCGCGCGCTCACGTGCTCGATTGCAAGAAAAATATCGTGATCGTGCCCGTGCTCGTTAGTTTTCCTTAGCTACGTTTTGTTTACCAAATTCTTGGGCCTTTTATCTTATCAAAGAGACAATTTAGTTATGACATAAGCGACTAAATTTAAAGTCCTACAAATGTAGCTAAAAGGTAACCAAAATAAAGACCGCTCTTTGTGCTTGTTCTGTTTCTGGGTCTACCGAAATGGTTATAAGGCCACCAGTTGGCTTATCATGCCAAAGTGCCAAATAGGTCGCCATTGCAGCGCTACTATTTCGATAATTATCTTTTCAAATTCCCATGATAGCTACACCTGTAGCTGATCACAGGTGTATATATTACATGCATTATACATACATACATACATAAGTTTATGTACATTACTTATGTACAAATGTGTGTCAGTATGTGTGTGCACATGCAGGTGTTTAGTTGCCTATTTATGTGCTTTATCAACGAAATGTCAAACATTTTGCGCACTCAATAAATATTGATGGAACGTGCATACATCCATGGACACACACTATACTCGTACATAGATAGATAGATATTTATTTTCATAGATAATAATTTTATGCGCATCGAACAAAGGCCGCATTGACCTTGTTCGGTTGATGTGGCACTTACATGCTTGAGCGTGAGGGCCGCCTTTTCTGGCTAATTGATTAGCAATTGCACATGGGATACTTACCTGTAAAGAGACAGAAAAAAATGAAGAGTGCGTAAATAAATTTGGTTAAATACACAGATAAAAAGCATCATTTATTTGTCAGAACAGAAAATAACAGAATTGACCAAATTCTATAGCGAAGCAAAGGAAGGATGATTCAATTAAAATAAAATAAACATAATTCTGTTTTTACACGGTAGATTGGTTCCAGAAACAACCGTGTAAAAATCGTGTAAATAAATAATCTCGTGTTGCCTGAAGACTAGGAGAATTTATCTATTAAGTTTGATCAATGTGGGCTTAACAGTTTCCGAAATACAGGCATTCATTCAGACAGACGAATCTTTTTAGAATTTTTTTTATTTGAAATCTTTAATCTGTGTTTAAGTTTGTCATTAGGTCGGACAATAATTAAATTTTATGATAACTTTGATCTTTTTAAGCACGCTTCTGTTATGATATTTGCAGGGTGATTTGAACCGAGTGCCTAAAATCAAGGAAGGAACTCACATTGTGGGATTCCTGCTAGCTCTTCAGGCTAATTAAGAATATTTGTTTGGAGATTCTTTTTTCATACTTTGCATAGATTACAATACTTCTTTTACCTTTCGAGTAGAAGGGTATAAAAAGCAATCATACTTTTTTTTACAAGCGGGCTTAGGTAAATCGAGTCGTTATTTATGTATGTTTTGCAAGGGAATAAATATGTTTAGTGCATACTAATTTATTTAATTATTTTATTCACTAATGTTTAATGTCTTCACAGAATTTGAGGGAAAGTCCCTTACTCCAGATAAGTACTGTATGTAGTTTTATCAGCACAAGCCCATTATCAGGATAGCTATGAATATATTTCATAGTGCATGGTTTCCTGAAACTAGTGAGAAGTAAAGTCAATGAAATTATGCAGAAACAACAAAATGTGAGTATTTCTGTATTATTTTAGAAAGTTGCGTCATTTGTTTTAAAGCAGCCACGATAATTTAAATAGCCCTGTACCAGCACCTTAAGCGGCGGTTCCGAGATTAAATTTCTACATAAATAGGTGTCCAATGCGGGCAGAAGCCCGTGTGTGATTATTTTTACAAGAAAGGCGACTTATTTAAAGGTCCCGCAGAGCACAGTAGCAAGGGTTCAGTTTATTTTTAATTTGTTGCGGTATACAGCCATCATATTGTTATTTTAACTCGATCCACACCAAGAGAGAAATCTCATACCACATATGTACATATAGAACGTGTACATAACAGGCGATGATTGTTGAAAGTTTGGCGAACTTTCAGCGGAACTAAGCTGACGGACGACATGGGCGATAAGAATGGGATATACTGTACAAGTATATACACATACATATATTATGTACATATTTGTTTGTGGCTGGAAGGCAAGTTGACAAATTGTCAAAACAGTCGGAAACACCTCGGGCCTATCTTATACGCGGGACTAACTGTACTTTCGTCACTGAAAGCGATAGCACTAACGATAAAGGCTATATTGTTTGTACATTCGGAACTGTTGTTCTGAGGGTTTATCAAGTGTTTTTATTTGTGAATGCTTATTTTTAGCAAGTACCATCATTTGGAATATTGGCATATCACATATGCTTAGCGTAATCTACATCGAAATCGACGCAAATGTAGCGGAAGTGGTCGCATAAAATATTCTTTGTAATTGTCAACAATGAATAATGAGGATTTTCTGCTGAACGATCGGGCCGAACATAAGGTAGATAAGATGTGCTGGCCGTGCTATCTAAGTCTCGCCAGTCTCGCCTCGGCCACATCAGCCTTTAAAATAGGCTGCTTTATTGGCTTTGTCTTGCTTAGGGGCGGGGTGCGGGGCGCAACGGGCGGGGGGTGCAGTTGGCAGGTGATGATAAAATGTGCGATAAGCGAGCGATCGAAACAAAAACTTCCGGTGATGATTTATAAGCATACTACATATATGTCGAAATTTGCACTTTGTAGAGCAGATAAGATTTCACAGAAATCATGAATGAACAGATTGTACAAAACAAAGGTAAGTGATGTATTTGTATAAATGTATGTATATATAGGTATGTGGAAAGTCCACAAAGATTCAAAAGCTGTTTTGTGTAACTTTTTTGAACCTGGCTTGAAATATTAAGTTCTTTACGTAAATCTATAAAACAGTTGCCATTCATTTCCATTTGTTTTCAAGACAACTTGTATTTCGGATGTACTTTACTTGTTATACCCTGTACCCAATGGGTATACTAGTTTATTGCGAATGTAAGTAAAATACAGAAGCCGTGGCAGACCCCTAAAAGTATATTATAGATCAGTAAGGCAAGACGAGTCCGTTCGTCCGTCTGTATGAGCGCAAGTGACCGCCAAAAGTACAAGAGCTAGAATTACCAAAGTTGGTATTGAGGTTCCCCTAAGCCCTAAGCAGATCAAGTTTGTTTTTCTTTTCTGATAGACCCCCACTCCCCACCAATAATAACGATTTTCCATAACTCCTTTAATTCTTGGAATTTTGCATTCAAATTTAAATAGATATCTTCAGTTAGGGAATATGCGTGCGTATGTTAAGTTTCATCACAATTGGTCAATTCTGAAGAAAGTTATAGCCATAAATGTAATCTCTGCCAGCAGCTATTGTTGTTGACTAATTCTGTACTGAACACGTACACGATTCTGATGTAAATGTATGCCCTTGAAACTGTATGTATTGAATATTTTTTATTAAATTTAATAAATGTATTAATATGTACATATATACATGTGTATATATGTATATATTTTTGAAATTGCTTATGTTTTTTGTGGGATTGGGTACAGGGTACTTAAGAGTTGACCCCGCCCGACCCTAGCATTCCTTTCGTGTTTATTTTCAAGACAAAGTATTCCTATTGCATGTCTGATGTTGAATATTAATTGAAATGAAATTGTAGGTATAGAACGTGCTAGGATCAGTTCTGATTTCCTAGTCTGCCTCTGATTTTTATAAAGCTCTATTATTTCGCTCGCAAAATTCGTTTGTAAAGTTCGTTGTGGAAAAACTCAAATGAAATATTTGAAATGTAAAAACATTCTGTTTCAAAGCACACAGCCCCACAGAAATCACGGTGTGAGTAGGAAATGAAACGCAATATACAAGTAGAACGATTAGCTGATGAGATTTCCAATTCATCCTCATGCAGTGGCAAGCGCGACGCTGGCCGGAGCTGCTGCGCCGTCTCCTCGGACGGCTGATGCAGCCAACCCAGTTCCTGCCGTCATCGACGCAAAATTCCTCCATTCCCCAGCAGCAGGAGCAACAGCAACAGCATGAGCCGTATCTGGTGAATGCCGTGCAGGGTTTGGCCAAGCCCGAGTATCGCGGCCAATTGCAGCCGCTGCATCGGTTTGGAGAGGACAGTTGGTTCGTTAGCAGTACGCCCGCTGCAGATGTGCTGGGCGTGGCCGATGGCGTCGGTTCGTGGAAGCAAATGGGTGTCGATGCAGGGCTTTTTGCCAAAGAGTTGATGTACTGGTGTGCCAGTAATGCGGCCCTTCCGCAGTTCGATGCTCGCAAGCCCCGGGATTTGCTCATCCAGAGCTACGTGCAGCTCTGCCAGCAGGCGCGTCCCGTTCCAGGCAGTAGCACTGCCTGCCTTCTCTCCCTCCACAGACGCGACTGTGCCCTCTACACGGCGAATCTGGGCGACAGTGGCTTCCTGGTGATGCGGTACGGCAAGATTCTGCATCGATCGGTGGAGCAGCTACACACCTTCAACACCCCCTATCAGTTGACATTGGCGCCGGACGGACAACGGGCCACTGTGCACTGCGATTTGCCCCAAATGGCCGCCTGCACACGCCTGCCCCTGCAGCAGGGCGACCTCGTGCTCCTGGCCACCGACGGCCTCTTCGACAATGTACCCGAAAGCATGCTGGTCCGAATGATGGCCGACTATCAGGGCGTGACGGATTCGGGACGACTGCAGCTGGGTGCCAACATGTTAGTGTCCATGGCCAGGGACTTGTCCCAGAGCGCCTATTTTCAATCTCCATTCGCCCAGAAGGCGAGAGCGAACAATATGATGTATATGGGCGGAGGCAAGCCCGACGATATAACCGTTATATTGGCCAGCGTAGCTGTCAGGAAAGGCTAACGTCAAGTCCGAGTCCGAGGCTGTGCTTGATGTTGAAGTTGAGGGCGGGGTGGGGGCTGATAAACTTCCAAGCATGTGTAATTTTTTATCACAAATAAAACAGACATGACCATAGAGCGGTAACAGGCCGGCCCGTCAGGTGTGGGGCAAATATTTGAAACAGCGATAAACCGCCTAGAAAATAAAACAAATAGAGCGATGGCGACGAGCTGGCAGCCGTTAAAAATTCATTCAGCAAATACCTTAACAAATGAATGAATGAATGGATGGCTATACGTATGGCACCGACTGGATGGTGCGACTACGACAACAGCTACGAGTACGAGTGATGAGTCACGCATTTTACCAAGAATTTGTCCGCTTATTTAAGCCAAGTGAACGAGGTGGGCAGAGGGGCCACGCATGCCTAGGGCTCGTGCGACTTTTACGCCCACTGCCATGCTTCAGTTGCGAAACGAGTGAGCGAAACAAACCCGTTTGAGTGAGTGACAAAGTGGCCGAGTGAGCGACTGGGCGAGTAGCTGAGTGAGCGAGCGTGAGCATAAATGAGCAAAAAGGCAACGCACTCAGTTAGTGAAATGAAATGTGCAATAAAATATGAGAGAAAAGTGTGAAGGCAGAAAAACGAGACGGAAATCCCCACAACAGCAGAGGCAACAACAACAAAAACAACAACAGCAGCACTGGCAATACAAAAATCCCCTCGAGCAAAAGATAAAAATTTCGCACAAGGAGCAATCGCGACGCAACGCGCCGCACTCTGACGCCATTGCCATGCCTCGCTGCATTTGGGAGTGGTGCCTGCGGCGACAGTGGTGCTTGTGGTGCTTGTGGTGCTCACCCCCGCTCCAGTTCCGCACCGCTCCACTCGTCTGGCTGACTGACTGACTGACTGACAATCGGACGTTGCATTTGCTGCGCTCAACTCAACCCATTTTTATTTTATTTTTATATTTCATTTTTCATTTTTGTTTTTCTTCTGCGCTGGCTTTCATTTTATTTATTCTGGCATTTCACACTTCTCGCGCTTAACTTTCAACGCCATTGCCATAAAAATCGTCCGAGCAGCGCATTAAGCGTGGCGAATGCCACAGGGTGTAGTTGTTGGAGGCTGCAGAATGCGGAATGCAGCAGCGACTGTGGCAGAAAAGTTCTTGGAATACGGTTTGCCACGACGCGTCACAAAAATGCCCAAAGCAAGACAAAGGGGCACAGAATGGAGAATGCTCGTTGCTTTAATATCACATTTAATAAATACCTATGTATATAATACAAAGGTATAAACATACTACATCTCACTTAGTGCGAACTCCTTTCGCCATAATTTAGTGGAGCTTGTCAATGGCCCCGATTGTCAATTGCCAGTTGCAAGCGCCAATTAGCGCCACTATAAAGAACTCTGCAAAGTTCAACAAACCCCTCCAAATACCCGTACACATGAACACCCGCACCCAACTCCAGCGACCTGACACAATGGGAAGAACGTACATACATACGAGTATATATACATAGCTACAATTACTACCCACCCAACGACAATAACAACAACAGCAAAATGTGCAGACGACCCCGTCGACAGCAATTCCTAGAACACAAGCTAATAAATCGAAAGTGAAAACACGCAACTTTTGACATTTTCGTTTAGCTTGTACAGTATTTGGAAAAATTAATGGTCCTGCAATTCATTTTGGTTATTTAGGTGGGTCTCCTTCCTAGCCTGCAAACCACTGCTGCTGATATATTCTGGCAATTCCGAAAACACTACAAATTTCCGATTTTGCAGCTCAAGCCGATTTGTTCAAATGAAGTGAATGCTCATTAGCGACATGCTTAGACTTGTTCGATTTCTTCAGTTTGTGTGCAGAAGTGCCTCTAACGCTGACAAAGGAACAATAGAATAAAAACTCAAAAGAAATTCTCTCATACGCTGCTAAGAGCCGCTCAATAATGTTAATGTTAATTGCGCTCAATTAATCGACTGTTAGCTCTATTACTGCTGTTACAAATTTACTGTTAGGATCTTTACTTGAAACAAATCTCTAATTTTTAATTAATAATCAATTAGATAAACTTAATTGTTATATTCATTTAATATGTCTCTTTAATTTTCGGCCGCAGTGTACTTTGTGGGGGGTTGCTATTTATTTTCTTGCTTTCTAGCGCCCGCTTCTAGTGTTTGCATGAAAATATAAAATGACATAATTTGTTGGCCACGATGAGAATTGGCATTTGTGTTTTGGCAGCCGTCGCAAGTTTTTCTTCTTATACACCTATCTACAAGTATGTACATACATACATATGTATGTATGTATGTATGTACGTACTGAATTTATAAGGTACGCGCCAATTAGGCACTTCTTTTGTCGTCATAACTCTCCTGTTAAGTTTAACTTGTGACGTCACTTCATTTCACATCTATCTAAGCTGGCTTTTTGCATTTTTTTTTAACCAAATTTGGTAAATCATATGAGGAAAAAACTGGCTTATTAACGTATTCACAGCACAAACATAAACGTGGCTCATTAGCGAGCTGTTAGACATTGACGTCACGAATTGAGTTGATTAGCAACTATGGTTAAACGTTAAACAACAACAACTACAAAGCAGTGTCAAAGTCAAAGCGTAGCAGCGCGCTATTAAAAAATTGAAATTTTTAAACAACAGAAACGGAAACACAAGCAAAAACTAGGTCTTATAGTGCCTACATGCGTTGAAATCGACACTTTCTGGAAATAAGTAAAATGGAAAGAAGGCTTAAGCTGTTGGCCTAACAAGGCAGCAGGTCGTAAATTTCGGCAGAAAAGTTAATGCTCTAATAAAAAGGCAATTGCGGCGACGATTGTTATTTAATTGTATTTATTTAATGTCGTTTGATATACGATTGTGCTGCTATCGCAGCCATCTTTATCGCTGCATTGCCAATTTCATTTATTTTTAGTTATGCGCACATAAAATTCACTCTTTTCATTTAATTTCAGATTGTTTTTTTTTTGCCCATCTTTTAAAGCACTTTGCGAATGGATTAATTTTTAAAGCTCAGGCTGTTTAAAATTTATGAAATTTCAAAAGCCTCGCCTAAGCTTGCATCATAAAAATGCACTTAACTGTCTGCCCCTTGCACCCACGGGAGTTGTTGAAATGGTAGCTCGTGGAATTTAATGTGCGGCTTTTAGTGCTCAAATATTTGTAATACATCTATGAACATATACACGAGTATGTCTATAATATATGTAAGTATGTATGTATGTTTGAATGTTTCGCCTCATTGCATGTTTTATGTAGTGCACAAAAAAGGCAATTTGTTTGTGTTTCAAGTGCAGTGCGCCATGTACGGGCCATAGAGCTATAACATAGACGAGGGCGACGACGACGGCAAACGCAAACGGCAGCGCGTGAGCCATTTGACATTCTAAGTGGGTTAGCAGAGATCAAGAGAGGGAGAGAGAGAGAGAGGCGCAGCAAGAGAGCTAGTAAAGGCAGCACTGCTTTGACCTTGGCATTGTATTTAACATTATTGTGAAATCGACTGCAACATAATGTTTTAATACCTGCCAATGTTAGCAGTGTACGCTCGATAAACCGAAAGTACACCTAATTCTGTTTTTACACGTTCTTTTTTTTCACGATTTTAATAAAACACGGTTTGGAAATTAAAAAATTTCATATATGTATATTTCTTTAGAGATAAGGAACCAATCACCATTTTTGCATATGATCAATGTCTTTTTTTACACGGTTGTTTTTGGAACCAATCTACCGTGTAAAAACAGAATTAGGTGTACTTACTAGCAGATCTGAAACACATAATCCTATTTGTCTACTTCTTGTTTAAGGTTTCACTTTTCCAGTCGCACTGACACCAAAATGTCAACATTTTATGTAAAGTAATTCTTTAAACATAAATTCTGTTAACAGTTCCAGTAACAATACAGATATAAAAAAAATGCCTTCCTAAACTCTTAAAATTGTATTCTAAAATCAAAATATAGCCTCTATTAAATTGATCTAAGACGACTTTACAGTCTCAACACTACATACCCGCATATTGCAGAATCCTATTTTAATATAATATAATAAAAGCAATATGTTTTGATTGTATAGTAGAAGCTCAACGATAAAAATTAATGAAACATTTTACAAAATTCATTTCAATCTTTTTTTTTTAATTTATCCATAAATGAATAGTTTTAGGCCACAGTTCTTCTAGGAGTTTAAAAATTTAACTTTAGTTGTGGGTTTGCTAAGCTAGTCTTACTTGACACTTATTGGTCCGCTTAAGTGACATGTAAATAAGCTCAAGACTAATGCTTAGATAAGCCTCAGATTTGTTTCAACTAAGTGTATCGCTTATCCTGTTGGCGTTTTACTTGCATTCAATCCAATATGGCAGCCTTGACCTTAATAACTACTACTATGTTAGTTTCTTCATGTGTTGCAATAGCAATCGCACGTGTTTTAAAACACAACTTTAGAAATATTGAAAAATGCACAAAAAAGCGCATGCTGAAATAACAAACAGCATCAAATGAGCTGTCATCAACCTTGACACTTTCGATGAGAGAGCGAGCGGCATTGAGTGAGTTCGACTGGGAGTGTGCTCGGCACTTGAGCGTAATTAACAAAATTATCTCATGTGAGAAAAAAATGCCAATTGGAGCTGTGTGAGAGTATCTGTGACTGTATATGTGTTTGTGTGAGTGAGAGACCAGCCAAATGGCAGAGCGAATAAAAACGCAACAACAAAAGTGTAAATTGAAATTCCAAAGATGTCGACAAAATAAAAAAGAAAAACGTAACGTATCACAATAACAATAACAACATCAAAACCCGCTGTACAACAACTACAACAAAATACGCACAATACAATTCGGTGAAGAATCGTTAAAAAAAAGAAAACACGAATCCACGCCAATATCCATAACAACAACAAAGCAATTTTTTAAACAAGTTTTTTGACTTTGTTGCTATATTTATGTACATATATGTATGTATGTATATATTTTCGTGCATATGTGTGTATGTACATCCATATAAATATATTTTGCGAACGACTGACTGGAGTGACTTGATGTTGTTGTTATTGGTGGCAGCTGTGCGACTGCTTGGTGTGTTAA